TTTGCAAAAAATTTCTTTTTTCTGAACAGGGAAAAAAAATCTTAAATTAACTGGTATCATGGCTATTCAAAAACATGGTTTCCCAAGAGGCTAATAAATGGCACAGTTGCTAAATTGCAGTTAAAAAACAAGATATTCCTCTCTGTGCTTCCTGAAAAAAACTTCAGGACCCTGTGACAATATGCTAAGCAAGAGGAGGTAAAGAAAAGCAGCTGAGAACTGATGCCCAGCAGAAAAATTCCAAAGCTGAGATGTCCGTGAAATGAGGCCAAACAGCTCATAAAGCTCTCATGTTCCTGCCTTGTCCTCTGGTGCCCCAGAGACAACAGTGAGAAAATAGCTGCGAAGAAATGCATTCCCCTGGGTAAGAAGTCTAGCTTGGGCTTTGCTATTTGAAATATACTTTATAATGCACATAAGTCCGTATGGTATTCATTGATGTTTATTTGTGTGGCTTAAGAAAAAAATTAGAAATCTTACACGTAAGGCATTCAATATGTGGAGTTGTAAATGGAAACAGTGTTTCATGTGTGTATCTATGTGTCTGTGTGTGTGTGTGAAATTACATATAACTGGAATAACGATATTTGCACAATTCCCAGGGCAATCTTTGCTTACTCTTACTATTCCAGTGAAAGTACTAATAGCACTGCCTTTAAATCTCAGAAATGCCCCACACTGGACAATAAATTATATAGTCATCTACTGTAGTTCATATTCAAAAGGGTTTTAAAAAGAGAAAAAAAAAAGACTTGGCATACTCAACACTAATTAGGCTTATTTCACTTTGCAAAATATTTTAATTAGAGCAGTTGTTAAACAAGAGGTTGAAAGTAGACCTTATAACACCAAAAATCAAAATGAGGTGTAAAACGACAAGATGATAGAAAGAAAACTGATCCGAATGGTATCATTTATTTTTAAATAACTAAAATATTCTTTTAAAAGAAAGTACATATTTTTTAAGCATCAGGATAACTTTAGAGCATTAAAACTGATATTATATACTGCTGCTCATGTGAGATTAGTCACTGGGTGCAAAGCTAGGATTAAGAAGGCACAAGATGGAGCCCTTCGTAAAAGGAATTTGTACTCCGCAAGAGGAAGCACGCCTACAAGTCAATACAAGCACACCCTGATGCTGCATCATAAATTCAGCGACAGCAAGGATGGAGGTCCCCTACGGAAGCTGGAAGAGGGAATGAGGGTGTGGACCAGGAAGGGGTTCATGATGCCCCTATGGAAATTTTTAGGAAAAGATGATGACTGGGCAAGTAAAGTCAGGAGGAAAAGGGAAACATTCTAGATAAAAGCGTTCCTTGTGTGAGTTCCCAAGGCATGAAAAACCTCTGGGGGTAGTGCGATCACTGAGATTGGCCACTGTGAGAAATGTAACAACAGTCGCAGCTGGAGAAGTCTTCAGAGATGAGGCAGCAGAGCTAAATACAACCCTAAAGGATTTTAAGTACATTCTCTGTCCATCCTACATGCTCCCCCATGGCTTAATGCTGGAAGAGGTAACAGAAGGCTCCCACTTTTTTTTCAAAATTGTATTGATAAACAGATAGCAATGAGACAGTTTCAAATCAAATCGGTAGTACAGCTTCAACAACCAACACACTGCATATATTCTTCTTAGTGGTTAATTGCTGTACAAGATGCAGACTTGAGATCCTATTTACAAACACCATTAGAAAAAATCATTCTATTCATTAAGAGAATGTAACTATATATCTATCCTAACCACTTTGAATACACAGACACAAAATGGACATTCATCTGTATACCCCTTTTTTTCTAAGTTCTGTTATTTGAATATTATAGGTGTGTAAACTCAGCAAAATATTCTAAAAGAGTCCAGTAGCCCATAATAGCATTGGGTCTTCTGTTTAACTGGCAATGTCAGAAATTATTGACCTGAGTCCCCCACAGCTCAATATAACAGCATGGCTTTACTTCCTATATTTCATCTTCATACTTTTCTACTGGATGGTTAAGACCAAAGTAAAGCAGGAACTGTGCAACAAGAGTTGTAGCTTTTGGGTCTGAGAAGGTCAGTGAAATCCCCTCAGGATTTATCGTGAGATCCTATACCTCATATTGTAGAACCTTTGTCAGTGTCAGCCATGTGGATGAGTCACGGCCATTGCTTGGCCAATGTGCTCTCTGTGAAAGAGAAGGCTCCCACTTTAATAGCAAGTCCCAGTCACATTAGTGACAAAGGAGACAGTAAATTTCAAATGATCTCTGGGCATTCCTCTTTCTCAAATGGCTTAAAATCTAAATAAAGTATGAGGAGCTGGATAATATTTTATCAATTCTAAATTTAGAGTTTATAATTTATTTCTTGGTAAAACATCTATTAATGTTGGCCAGGGCCAGAAGAGGCCCTAGACATGAAACACCAGCACAGATTGAGCGGAGAGATGCAAGAATCAAAGATCTCAAAGAACAGCAGCTGCGGGATGTTGCGCTGATCATTCCTAGAACTGAAGTCTTGCAGACTGAAGTTCATCTCATAGACAGCAAAGGTCTATACCAGGTTGTAAAGATCCTAATGAATGCACAGTTGTGACCAGAAGTTGATGCCCACGGTGAATATAAGGGAAAAGAGCAGAGTTGCTGATAACGTCTAGCCCGTCCTGGAAGACTTTTTCAAGGAGATGATGGAGTCTTAGCTGAAATCCACAACACAAAAGGTGGCCGATGTCATGTCTGATCTTGGCCCTTATATTTTTTAGATTTGGGCCAATGAATATTCGCAATGAAAGAAGACTACAGGGCAAACAATAATCTAAGGAAGAAAGCTAAGTTGACCTTTATTTAAGACAGAGTAGAAAATGTTTTGAAAAAACAGTAAAAATAGACCGAGGGGAGTGTGTGGAGAGCTTCCTGCTACCCTGCGCTGGCGGGACCAGTCCCAGCCCAGGCGCAGCATGGGCCGGACCCTCTCCCAGCCCCTTGGGCCGCCCCCCACCACTCCACAGTGCCTCCCCCACCCCACCCGCCGAGTAGGATTTTCTGCTGAGTTCAGGGAGCCCCCAGACCCAGTCCTAGCCCAGGT